ATTCGCCAGTGTGTGGCACAGTCCATTGTTGAATACCGCTAGACAATGTGACTTCCCCGTCGTGATCCTGACCTGCGTAATGACCTCCAATTTGGACTGGACCAGTACTTCCACTCATACCAAGAGTTGTAAATACTGCTGTAAATCCTGTGTAATAATCGGGAAAGTTATGGTACTGCTAAGAAATTGTCAAATTGTTTTGGGTACTGCCAATATTGCACACTACCGCTAAGAGAAAATATTCCTGTAAATTCAGCAGAATAAGGTAACGAAGCAAAAATCTCCAGAAAATCTCACTAACAAGCAAAACTGACTAAGTTGATTATTTCTTTCATAAAGGTATCTTCGCACTGGCTCTGGTAATGAACATAGAATCTACTTTCAACTGCAAATATGCTATCACTCTTGCTGGTAACTCCTTTGAAACTGGTGAATTTACCAAGCTGCATAGCTTTCAACGCTGAAAAATGCAAATCCGTTCACATCTTTAAGAAGAAAACTCCTGGTTGACCTTGATGGACAGCGCTCGAGTGTGTACCTTAAGCTTAAGACATAAGCATCACTGATTCCCGTGATCTCCAATGGGCAGAGCATGCAGACGAAATCACCTCAAAGGCCAACAAAACCCTTCGCAAATCAGGCGAGTTTGCCACGATGTCAATGACATTTAGTTAAGGAAGCTGCAGTGCTGTCCTGTGGTCAGACCCAAATTTAAATAATACTCCTGCCTATGGTCTCTTTATTATACAGTCATACATGGAGCATTAATTGAGAAAATCCAAAGGTCTCTGACTAAGTTTATTCTTAATTACCCACTGAACAACGTCTCTTATGCTGATGGGCTCGTTTTACTGGGCCTGCTGCCGGTAGAATGCCGTACAGAAATTAGGGACATTACACTCTTCTACAAGTTTAAGTCTGGTGCTATGTCCACCAGAAAAATATGGAGAGATAAGATAGAATGATATGTTATAAACAGTTACGTGTGCATTTGGTTCCATTTCCACGAAATCCATGTTTACACGTGCAGTTGTACGATCCTAGGGTATTGTTACACTCAGCATTCACATCATAGTTGTGTGTTCCGTCAGCCCATTCGTCCAAGTCTAGAGAATCAAAAAAGAAGCTTCTTTTGTGCGGAACCTGTTTTTATGTTTTTATCTCGTGTTTTGTGGTGTTGTTGTTTCCCGTTTGTTTGCTTTAATTGATTTTTGAGATCTTACAATCAACTATTTTATTTTTGTTGTATCGTTACCATGCTCCTACCAGTACCTTGACTCCATATTCTGCATATAAACAGACACAACTCATTCGCTCTGACGAAGGACTAACGCTCGAGACTTCAG